TACATCACAATCATAAGTCATCAGCGTTCATTTCCGTAACTGACATCTGTAGGTAATCTAGTGAACAACTCATAATACACTTAATACAATCGGGAGTTTAACAGTATGATCAAAGGCCCAGAAATTATGCCAATGAGGTTGAGTTGTCAGAATTATCGACATTTGTTTAGCCGTATCAAAACTAATTCTTCTAGTGCCGATAAATGATACTCGGTTGCATTGGTTAATACCACATCTCTGTTGACTAGTTACTTAACGCAGACAATATCTGGATCAGAGAACTGCTGGAGCATTTAATTCAAAGGTAACCATGTCGCATATTATTGTCAATAGCCCGTAAACCTTTCATAATCTGACTGATGAAAACAACCGTTGTTCTGTGTACATAGTTCAGTTCCCGGGGCTATTTATCTCACTGTGAATTAATGAAGCCCATGAAACCGAATGGCAATGTGACTATTGGATGTCATTGTGTCCTCAGCCCTAGTGTATTTTTCCAAAACCTATGAAAAGCATGCTACTAATCGTCATGACAGGACGAGCAAGCATAGAAAATTATGTGATCTCTGCGTATGATCTTATAGGTTAGGCAGTTGTATCATGGCAAGTCCACAGTACTGAATAAGGAATATTATTCTGGTAGCATAGAAAAGTGCCTCTAATACTTGCCAAGTCCTAAATCTTACAAGGTAAAGTAGTATCCAATATCCAGGCTGTCAATGTTTGTCTAACGTCGATATTCAGAACTTGTGAAGTTCGGACGTACTCATTTCTACTCGCTAGGCTATCATAATACTGCTGTGGTATATTTTGACTGTTCAGCCGTAGAACTTGAAGCAGAACAGCAAAACGTAGCAGAAGCCCTTTTTATACTGATAAATTTTAAAGCGAAATTGACTGTTGGATTGTAATCCGGGGGAATAAAAACTATGTCATTACTGAATTGTCTGGCTAATACAGTCAGCCTCGCTCGCTATCATTTAGGTAAATCAACATGCGGCGTTGCAGAAACTGTCAGCTAACGATCAGTTACAATCACCTGTTTACTGTTGACATTGAAATAAGCCGACTATTTGTCATAGGTGCTATATGGCGCACAGAAATTCAATCTCGTGCTGATACTGTGCGGAACCACTCCAGTTGCTAACGTCCAGAGAAAAAAACAATACGTTGATTGTCAATGTCGGTGGTTAATGAAACTTTATCCTGGGGATTCGCTTGCCGACACAGATCCACGAAAACTTAGAGAGATAGGTCGGGGAATTATCCAACGAAATATAAACCTCCTAGCCCTACGGGATCCACCTTTGATATAAGGGTGTAACGAATACATATACGCCGCCGAATAACAACAAGGAGGTAGTGGAGTGATAGTTAATGTAAAATTCGTATAATAAAAAAACAGTGAACAGAAATTAGTCCACGATAGTTAAATCATGATAGCGATAATAAAAATACTAGTGTAAAACCAGAAATAATTCCTTCAGTTGGAGAAGTAAAGTTTGCTTTTATGAAGGAAGTAAAAGCAAGTTACAGTAGGATAACCATTGGCTTCTATTACGATCCAAATCTGATAACGTCACAAGCCACTGTGTTGCATCATCCCTTGGGCCCCAGCTAGGGATTTGTGAGGGACTAAGAGAAGCCAGGCCTGTACAGTCTTCTTTCATACCACGACACCATGTCACACTGAACACCCCTCCATCTTTTCCACGACGTGGAAATCTTCAGAACGACATTCGTAAAACATATCCAAGCAAATGAAGTCGATGTTTCAAGACAGTGGCACCAATTAAATTATCGTCGCTGGGCCGAAACACACGATGTCGAACCTCTACACTACTAACTTGTTGTTGCCATTGGATTTCAGCAATCCTTCGGCAAAAACAACGGTCAAAAACAGAGAGTCGTTCAACAACATCAGGTTTCACAAGCATAGAGCAAAACCATCCAGACCGACACGTTGTAAATCATACCTTTTTACAGACGGATTAAAATCAGTAAAGCGCTAAGCATGGCCCAGATTGGCATAAACCACTCAGGCGTTTATTAGACGTGAATTGATCTCGTCGCTCACGCCACCACAAGTACTTACGCATCTTCCCAGGCACACGAACTTCTCGACTACTTCTATGTGCTCACTACCCAGGGTGAGCGCAGGATTAGAATTCTGTCAGTTTTGCAAAAGTGCACATGGAATATGCAAAGCATGTATCATACCTACTGACAATGATTGCAAACTAATTAAGTGCGGACTGCATGGATTAGGTATCATCACACAGTAGGACATTATCATCCGCACACCCGAGGTCGAAATGTCTTTCACCAGACAACAAATCCACACAACCGTTACCTACATCCATCAGACATGTTTCCAGAGCGTCATCAGTAGCAACGTTGAAGAGAAATGGTGAGATTAGGTAACCCTGTCTAACCCCACTGCTTGAATGGAACAATCAAGAGATTGTATACCCTCACTCTGCTTGAGGTGTTTGTACATAGAGCTTTCAAGATGTTAATGAACTTTTCCAGCACACCATTCTTCAATAGACAATCCCTGAGAACAGTCCTGTGTAAAGAATTGAGGTCATGCAGAAAATGGATGTTAATCAATAAGGGTTACCTACCGTTCAAAATTATCTACGGCTAATTCTAAACAGTCTACAATTATTGTTGGATCTAAATCTTTGACTGGCAAACCACCATCTTTACAAAGGATCCTAGGTGAGTAATCTGGCCTTGGTGATTTCTAACGCTCCGAGATTTGGAGTTCCCGAGGACGTCCGTCTCGTTCGGTGAGTCAGTCGTCATAGGCCGTGGAGGGCAGGAAAGTTTGATTAATGTTGTCAGGGCAGCAGATCATTTGAACTGCTCCTCCAAAAAACTCTGCCCATCGCCCAAGACGTCGATAGATTGCAGTTGCTGGTATCCCATATCCTTCATAGATTGTTACACTTACACTAGACTTCTTGCTACCAGTGACTCCGGTGAGTTACAGATCGGCTGCTGCATGCCAGAGCTACAGGCTTCAATGAGTTCTTGGGAACCTGTAGAAACTCAGTGATTGTAGGCAGCAATTTTCGTGAAGCCGTAAGCGATTTTCATCACCTTTTTCATGTCATTGCAAAATTGCAGCTAGCATTCATTCATTCTTCACGGTGGGTTGGCAGGTAGCCATGAACTTAGCTCGGTTTGATATGTAGTTGAAACAGAAGCTGCTAACAATTCGCTGATGTCGATACGTGTAGGACGATGAATTTGTTGGCCAACAGAAAGTAAGGTAGGATTAGCACAAACAAGAGCGTGATGAGGGTTCAAATATTTACGCCGACAGAAGCGTCAGTATAGTACACAACCACGCCAGCTTAGCTGATCGCAAAGTGATCAACACGAGTCTATGTTTGAGATAGGGCATACAACTTTCGACCATTCAGTGATTTGAAACCACTTAGATAGGACAGGATTCCCACCACAAGCGAGCTGCTGTATAAGTTGAAAAATAAAATATGCAAAATGAAAAAAGGGGGAGTACATAAGTGATGCAGCATAGAAGAAATACCAGAGAGTAATATCAATTGATGATAAATACAATTTGACTTAATAAGTGTTGAAGCATGAGTAGTTTTACAGCAGTAGTTATCATTGATTTGTGTGTGAGCTGGGGTACTGCTCAGGTGGACAAACTGATGCAGGTAGTTTTCGCAACGAGTCACCACCACCACCCGAGCCTTTGACCTAAAAGTCTAATCCGCAAAGAAGTAGAGAAACATCAGTCGGTAAAATCCCATGGTAGTCGGTGACCAGCAATCGGTTAATAAGCTGTTTGTGTCCCACAGGATCCTAGAAATCATGTGCACCATCGTTTGAGAATCAGGTGTTTCCGAATTTCTTGGGTGGATCCTCCATGTATATCACTGCGGCCAAAGCACTGAACACAGGCTTTTCGTCTTTTCAACTTCGTGAGCAACACCTGCGATTTGAGAGGGCAGTGAGTAGGAATTGCCTGACAGTGTCCATTTGAGAGCATTCGGAGAGAAGGAGTGGACTCTCTCCACCCTAAGTGGTGCCAGGTCATTTGAAGGCTAATGACAACAACGTAAGTGTCGTTATTTTAGACTCGCTTGGACTTCTGATTCGTTACAGCTAAAGGTTCAGGGACCCCATGAGTCTTGTAACGTACATTTATGAAGTTGTGGGAAGTTCACCACTGTGTATACATACTTAATAAGATCCAGATCAGGCTCGGATATCTTGGAAAAATTATAAGAGACGACCATCAACGTAATTATGGAATTCTGAAGTTCAGAATACACAGTGAGGCTTTCAAAGTTAGACCAACTTAAGCTATTTGATTGTGGAATGGGGAGAAATAATCATGATGTGTAAGGTAGTATGTGATGACCTCGTACCTGTTATATATTCCCCATTTCCTCTGCTTGAGTTAGGTTAACTCGGGGGACATGATGAGCACATTACAAGTCAAGGACGGATAAACTTCATGTGGCATGAAGATTTTATTGCCGTGTAATTGGCTTACAGATGCTACAATTGTTCGAAGTTTGATGACACCTTAACTAGCAACACCTTTTACAATCAAAATATGCCAACCCAGTTACATCAAAAGTCAGGAGCGAAGAGGTTCGAAGATATATTTGATAGACTATCGATATATCTAGAAGTGATAAATCTAAGCTGCCTATCGGTCGTAGGAGATATGAAGTTCGGCGTACCAAATCGTGATCTGATGCGGGTGCGTGATTGAATGCCTTCATCTAGGTTGGCCCATTAAAGCTAATACGGTCAGCATCAAATGTAGAAGAATTACAGAGATATTGATTTCGGGGATTTATTTACCACTACGACGGGATGAACTCACTGAATCAAGAAAGAACAAGAGATTCTTGTAAGCTCCATAGAAAATGGTGAATACCGAATTTAAGCCTTCTGTCCACAATAAACAAACTTTAATCTGAATCTATTGAAAATCGGAAAGTTTGAGCGCTCTGTTTGGGATTATACGGTCAGGTGAGTAGGTTCGTCCTGCGGAGTATTCGTTTGATGACACAGGTTTAGTAAAATTTTGAAATAAGGTCACCATGAAGTTTTATTTTCAGTCTGAAAGTCAATTTATTCGTCTAAATGGGCCTATCTCTCGGCTGTTATTGTGTAGATTTGGCTATTTCCGTTTTTAAATGACTCTTTAATCTGAAGTTCTTTCTAAGCTCACTTATGTGATGACTGTTGAAATTTTACCTCCGAATGTCCCTAGATTTATCTAGACTATTTTCACCATAGTGAGGATTAATTAATACATTTGACGGAGATGAGAATAATTTCTATCAACAATTATAATAACTACATAAGGTGTTACATTCGACGTAATACAACCAATCATTTGTGCCTGACCGGTATTAGACCTTATTAAAAAATAACCTCGACTCACTAATCATGATATTTCCAGAGTTCGTAGTCTATAAAAGCACAAATATGCACTAAGTTCAATTCCTCTGAGTAATTTTACGTATAACTGTTTTGAAGACTTCACTCAACACTGTGTGACTGAACACAATCTCAAACAATGCCAATAGGCGAAACCATAATTTATGGACGAACCAATAAGATATAGGATTTCAGGTCTTGGATTTTGGTGCGAAATTCATTCATCCATTTGGCCAAATGGCGTTTTGACGTTTTAACTAGTTTCAGTCCGTTATGAAAGCCTTAAATATAGTTCCTAACCACAACCACTGCCTGTAGATAATAATCCTAATTTTTCGCAGTGGTTTACAGCCCTTAGTCCTAGTTATTAGACAGACATTCTAAAGGTCACTCGGGCGTCGCCATAAGGTTGTCAATAAATTCTAGACTCAATCGTCAATTCTAACACTCCGATCTGGATGATGGGTAGTGAAGTTTACTTGACTAATTATAAAGTCAACGTTACAATAGTTCGTGTTCATATAAACTTGTCAAGCGAATTGATGTCTTGAGTCAACTGTAGGTTATTCATTTTTACCTTCTGGCAAGTTTTTGAAATTTCAATGTCATCTAAGATGGTACCCATTTTGTCAATATAATCACTTTTAATAAGAAAGACAACTGAACCTTTGTTAGGTTTCGTAATCAATAACATCTCATCCTTTTGGAGCATGGTGATAGCGTCCTTTTGCTTTTTTGTAAAAATGCTTTTTTAATTAAATTTTTCTTATGCTGGTAACAACAATTTACGAAGTTTGATTTCAAATATTATCGTTGTTGACCAGAATTCGCAACTGAATACCATATGACTATGTAAATAGTCAAACTCTATAACTGTTTGTGGTGAGAGTGATTCCGGGTATCACGGAATTTCATACTTAAGGATAATATTTCTGGTTTTCCCTTATCTAGTTCAACACTTGAAAAATTATGGACATCCGTTTTGGAATAAGCTAGATATTTACTTTCAACTGTTTAATTCTTCAGACTTTTCAATAGCTGGATACGTTTCTTCTCTGCTCTCTGTCCCATAACGTTCGTAACATAGTCCATAAAAAGCATTCTCAAATCATCCATTAGGTCGTCTACAGCATATTTTCTGCAAAAATCACTTATTTGCATCTCTTCATTACCGGAATGCAGTGTGAATCTGGTTCAAGACGTAGCTTTTTAGTGTTTTTCTATTTTGGTAAACTCCGTCCCGTCGTAACAGTGTATGGTATAATTTTGAGTGGTGACTTGAGTCAATACAGTTGTTGATAAATTCGCTAACAGTTTTCGTCCTAACGGACTTTACATCATATTTTAGGGACTCATTGAACTCTTTCAACGCAGTGGGTTGTTCACAACTCTTTAATTATTTAAACATCCCAGTCATATTAAGAAACTAATATACGAACGAGAAATATTGTTTTCAATTAATTCTCTTCAGGTTCTAGAATTATGTATCCAAATTAATAATCCGAAAAGTGGTCAGGTTTACGAAAAAGTGCATCGTTTAAAGTTATAGCATGTGAATTTAGGATTATTAAATAAAATAAAATTGTTAATGTTGAGATGACTCGTATATAGTGCTAACTAGAATCAGCTTATATATTGAGTGAAATTATAAGATTCACAATCAGACTAAATTATTTATTCACATATGTCAAGAAAGACAAATCTGAACAGTTCTCCCACTGACCGTTTCTAGCTTACTTGATTCTGAGCCGAGTCGTACTACCGCCTAAATAAACTGTTCTTAAACAGGAATTACTAATTTAGAGCTGGTGAAAATAGTTTATGACAGCACCATTAAACATCTGGTTCCAGAAAGCATATTGAGTTTATAATTCATGTACTAATCAAAGCTAAGACCACTTGTTTTATTTTGCTATGAAAATAATAAAACAAAGGAAATAAGGCTTTGAAATGGCTTCGCAGTGACTGGCTTCATCCTAATCCATACTGTCTACCACTACCTTAATTCATGACTCAATGTTAGGAGTCAAATCACTCTAAATCAATAGATTTTAGGTTTTAACCCGGGCCCATTTTAAATAAATAGTTCTTATACAAAAATATATGACTCATGGCCGATTACTTGGAGTACATATGATTTTCCAGTGAAACTATAATTTGTGGACGACCTCTGAGTGACACTAAAGTAGTCTTTAGAATGTTCCTCTACTGACCAGGGCTAAATGAGGGTTTCAAACCTGTTTGAAATATGAAGATTGTGATTTGCAGTTAATAGTTAGAGATAGGGATTAGATTTAGGGTTTTCATCACGAACTGATATCAGCTCAAATGTCAAGATGCTATTTAGTCAAATGGATAAAAAATTTGGCGCCGAACTCCAAGACCTGTTATCGTAAATCTGATTGGTTCGTCCATAAATTATAGTCTCGCCGATTTCCCGTTTTCAGCAGTATCAGATTGTCTTTTTGGTGATTCTTACTTTGGATTTTTAGTGCTCGGAAGTGCTTCCAGCTAACATACTCTACTGACTAACGGACTTACAACCAATTAGTCATGGGTCTAAACCGCGCTCCAGTTTGGCCAACAAATAGTACTAATAAAACTTGGAAGTTAGTACATAAACTTATACGTAGTAAATAAGTTAGATTTAAAAACTAAGAGGAAAGTCTGCTTCATCATCTGACAAGATTGTGCTAAACCAATATTTCGTTAGTATACAAAGTTTGTCCATCTTTTCGTAGATCGCAAAGTTGGTGTCTCATTTACATATTTCTACCATTTGGATTTTTGTTATCCGCAATCTTTTCTTAGACAAATTTAACATCAATCTGTAATGTAATTTTATTTCCACTGCTTTTATTTCATATTAGCAGGTTCATAAGTAGACATCGACGTTGAATTATTTGATGGCTACTGCTTCTAAAACAGAAAGTAGACTTGTTACAGAGCAAAATATTTTCAATTATTGCATCTCTGGTGATTTGAAATCATTAAAAGAATGTGCACGTTCTGTTGGTCAAGTAGTTCATAAAAATTCGCTTGATGGTCAAACTTGTCTCATTGTAGCATGTAGAAATGGTAACTTTGCTCTTTTTCTCATTGTGAATCATGTCATCTAGGACATTTAGATGTTGCCGAATACTTAATCGACTTTCATGGGGCAGATGTTGAACAAGTCAGTTTTTTATACTGTATAGTTTCAGTTTTTACAGGAATTTTTCCACTCGTGGTTAGCGATTAAATTACTTTTAGATTTTTCTGCTTTCACAATTAAGTTTAACTATGTTGGTTGTTTGGACTGGTCCCTGACGAGTCCCGAAAGGGACGAGATGCACGCCATGGATTCCATTGCAAACCACTATCCATCTCTGCTTAGATTTAGATAGTTTTAAACTATTGCAATATTGAAATTCAGTGTGCTCAATTCGTCCTTTCACACATCCATTGCACAAGTGTTCACTACATTTGATTTTTAAGTTATACTATTAAAGCCACTGTATTTGCAGCTCGTTTTTAAATGCAATTCACTTTGGAAGTACATGATACACTCGGTTTTAAGCAACACTTTACACATATGATACTTAGTGATACTTCTTAGTTGCCGAAAGCATATTAGGTGCAATGGTGTTCGATGATCTACTAATTGAACATCAATTTATTTAACCATAAAGCCACTGTTCTAATGTATCTGACGATTTTGAATTGACAACTTTGGTATTCTAAAAACCTTGTGAATTCTAAACATAATTTTCCGACACTGATGATAAAGTAATTTATGTTCTCTTGATCAGTGCTGTAACTCTTCAGTTTTGATGAAGTAATTTTTTCTGTTACTCATAGGCTAGATCTCACTTTCTCTTTAATAATTATAGTGTACAATTAGAATGTTGAAATCGATTCTCGACAAATTTTTCATGTTGCTCTTCACATTACTTTGTGCCGCCAATGAATATAGTAAATAGGAGTGTTTGTTTACGAAAATGAGAGGACGAAAAGCGAATGTCCGGCGCTCTAACCGGATTCCAAACCAATGGTGCACATGGGCTCCAGTATCCTGCGGGAACAAATGGCGTATAAACCAATTGTTGGTCACCGGCTTCCATGGGACTGCATCTCCGTACGATGTTCCACTGTCTTATGGATCAGACCTTCAGGTTGAAGGCTCGGGGAGTGGCCCCCTAAGAAAACCACCTGCTTCGGTTTGGGCACCCGGGCAGTAACACAGCCCTCACACATATCAAATGAGATTTGTGTGGCGCATATGTATTTGGTGCCTCCTTGTACCAATATCTATGTGTTAAAATAAAATAAATAAATACATGGTATCTACAAATTGAGCCGGTACATATTTGTGTCTGACCATACATTGACCATTACTGACTTGGAATAACAATCATAAAGAGTAAAAATTTAGATTCTCTTCGTTTTACAGCAAGGACTTTTTTATGTGGCTTACACCAGTTTTGGTAGTAATCTTTTTTCTTACAATAACTTTTTAACTTTACCAAACTCAAATATTCAAGAATCTTCGTAAATACAATGTCCTAGATTCCACTACCGACCACGTTCCATCTGTGATATATCAGTAGTCATAAATGATTCTTATTGTGATGACAGGAAAAATAGGTGTATGATATAATATTATTGGGCTCATTATTTTGTAAAAAACGTATCTTACTTAAATTTGTGGTCATAAAATTTGCATAATGAAGGTTAACTCATTCTTTTTTGCTCGTATATTTCCCCCAGGTTGGTGTTGTAGAATTTGAAGGAGAACAAGTAGAAGGTGTACCTCCATTATGGTGTGCTTCAGCAGCTGGACATTTGAAATTAGTTGAATTGTTAATTAGTCGTGGTGCAGACGTTAATCGAACAACAATTACTAATTCAACAGCTCTTCGTGCTGCTTGCTTTGATGGACATGAACAAGTACGTTTCTTTCTCAGCAAGATATGATCACTTGTTTTTTTATGTTTACAGATTTTTCCATGTTAAAATTTGAGTGATATGCAGTCGACGTTTTTAAACTGCTCGATTTAAATAATCGATTTCTATACATTATTTATTCTCAAACTTGATAAATCTTTTCTCTGTCTCTATAAAGCAAAAGCATACTGCACACATTGTCTTATTGTCAAGAAGCTTACCAAATGATGATAGGGGGATAAGTGTTTGGATAAACGCTTTCGGAGCATAGTTTGTATCTGATGGGACTGAAGTGAGTAAATAGATTAGTGTCAAACAGTGGGATTTGGATGTTTGCCGCTTCGTCCTGACTAGGACTCATCCGTTGCATGTACTAGTATAATAGTGTTAATGTTCACACCCAGATTAAAACCCATTCCCTTTCGTCTCAAATGTTCAATTAGTTATCTCATTGTTGGTAATATTGACTGAATTTTAATCACTTTGTTATTACGTATGTACCCTGTTGGAGTTACCTCTCTAAAGCTATACCTCTACGTTTTTTTCACAAAATAGATGGATTTGTAGCTAGTAGTGAAATTTAGTCAAAATAAACAACAGATTAATTCAAATCCTCTCTAATAATAATGCAAATAACATACCTATTGCACATACGAGCGGCTATCTGAACTCAATAGTTCAGTGAATAACTAATTGGGCATTTGAGACGAAAGGGAATGGGTTTAAATCTGGGTGTAAACATTAACACTATTATACTAGTACATGCAACTGATGAGTCCCAGTCAGGACGAAGCGACACATCCAAATTCCACTACTAGACACTGATCTATCTGCTTTATTAAAAACTCGCTACATAGCATCTATATAGAGTCAGTCCTCACAGAATACACATGTACCAAAACGGATTGCTCAAAACTCCGTTATGATTATTAAAAAGGTGACAGCTCAAATCCTTTCCAATGGTAATACAGTGAGTAAAACCATAGTTGAGTGTATGGTAAATGGTAATTTGGAATTAGTGCATCATTATACAGGATTCGTGCTTTTCTTTCAAAAAAGAGATATTTCTTTCTGTTTGATTAATTCTTTTTTCTTCATTCTATAAAGGTTGTTCGATATCTTGTTGAACATGGAGCCAATATTGAAAATCCAAATCGCCACGGACATACTTGTCTCATGATTAGTTGTTATCGTCGTCATGATAGTATTGTAGAATATTTACTTAGTAAAAATGCTCGAGTTAATCGAAGAAGTGCTAAAGGTTAGTCCATAAATTTCCTTGTATATTTGTATTTCTATCTCTTAAGTGACTAATGATTTGATACAGTCATGCATGAATGAATTAATAGTTGAGTAATTTGAAGTCAGTTTTGTTTGTAAACTAATATTGACTGGAGAATTGTAGGGAACTGAGGAACACTTGACTGCTCGAGATAGTTTGATATTATTTAACATTATACATCTACAATTTCTGTCATGTCGTACACTGCACTCTTAATATATTGATAATAATATTCACTTTACATTTCTTAATGAAGCTTAAAATAATGATTTGAAGTTCTTACTTAGTAGTTAGGTCACTCGAGTCTTTGAACATTAACGTTTCAAGTTCAAATCATGCCTACTACACCTCAATTTGATCAACTGGATGCTAGTAGTTGATAATTTCCTTCAGGAACCACCGACATTAGTGAGGTAATTACAGGAAACTAAATAGCTGATTGGTCCGGGTATGGAACTCTTCAACAATGTGGACCCACAATATCACATGAACCTTCAGGTGATTCGATATTTAAAACTTAAGCGCTCTCTGAGATATCTGAATGCCTTGTGTTAAACCCCTGAGTGGATAAAGGATGCCCATTGTTGAGGAGTTGTATACTAAGACGAAACAGTTGTCCAGTTCCTCGTGGTTCTCACTGGTTGCCTGATAAAGGCCAGTTCGTTATGTAAACCACATAATTCAGCAATACAATGGTGGACAACTAATTAGCAGTAAAACTAACTGCTAGGTTAAATATGTAGTTTGAAATTTCTTTGTCTAAAGCACATAAATTCTGATGCTTTTGGGAACCAAAATAAAAATGGGTTACTTAAATGAATCACTAGTGATGTGATGAAATAAGTGGGAAAGATGAATAGCCAACGAAGAAATGAACAGAAATAATATTTATTGATAGGTACAGTTTATTTGAAGTTCACAAAGAAAGGATTCTTTCAGTTAAAGATCATTTTACTATTATAAATTGTAGTCGAGAACTACATCAGGATCACGATTGGATTCTATTCTAAGAAATCCGATACTGTCCTAAAACCATTGAGTTGCGCCATCTTTAGGAATTCCACTAAGGAATTATGATGAACTGACAGTAGCAGTCATATACAGTTACCTTTCTTACCATCCCACTATGTCATAAATTGGCCATATTTCTCTTGTTTCTAAACAGTCCCTGCGTCAGAAAACAGTATACGATTTGGAAGCCGATTGAATAAAATTTGCAAGACATAATCAAGACACTGAAGTCAGCATTTTAAAATAGTGGTATCAGTTAAATCATTACCACTGTGCCTGAACATACTATACCGAACATCGACATTATTAACTTGGTGCTACTACGGGATGGAAGCATTCTTTTAGAGTTAGTGATGATTGAACCAAAAGTCACCAAACAACATCAGCTTGAGGGAGCCAAGTTTCATAAATCATGAGTGGAACTGTTCTCGCTGACGTGCAGTAAACCCAACGTTTTACAGCTAGACTAATGTTATAATGGCAGCAGAGAGGACCCAGTGGTTCAATGACCCAAGCATATATATATATATATATATATATATATATATATATACGAGTGATGTACTTGGTTACTGACTTGTATTCAGTTTGATTGCTAATTATATGTTAGATAACTATACAAAGAAAAGAAAATCACTTGATGTCATTTGCTTTAATCAATCACATTTTCAGTTTTTCTCAATTATGTATAAATCAATAGGAAGAACAAGTGAGAGAGAGAGAGACAAAGAGAGAAAGCTAGTGAGTGAGCGAAAAAAATCGATTTACAACGCACTAGTTTAACGAGCACAAAATTTTTCACTTGATAATAATTTCATATCTACATGAGATAACCGAAAGAGAAATTTGCGTGATCAATCTTTACACACAAGATTTTAATAATAATAATAATGTTATTAAATATAATTAGTAGTAGTACAGAAGTACCAAGTTTTAATAATTGAACTCTAGAAATTTCTGAATTATGTGGTTTACATAACAAACTGGCCTTTATCAGGCGACTATTTCTCCCCAATATAAGACAACTCAACAGTGCGTATCCATGACCCAATGTCCGAGAATTGAATCCAGGACCTTCAATCTTGTGCGCGTGAAAGCTTAACTCCTAGACCATTAAGCGAGTGATCCAACGGTGTACAAGTCCAACCTTAATCAATACACGAGATATCGTTGTTTTTCTACCGTTATTCGTGTTATTGTTATCCAAGATCTACTACTACAAAATTTTTCGCTTGGTAATAATTTCATATCTATATGAGATATTCGAAAGAGAAATTTGCGTGATCAATTTTCACATACAAGATTTTAATAATAATAATAATAATAATAATAATAATAAATATAATTAGTAGTAGTACTGTGGTGTGTGTTACTGATGTCGACAGTTATAAGTAGTATGTATCAACAATCGAAAGTGAAATGTCTGACGGCAGAAGGTTAAGAAGATCGAAGCAAAGAGAAAGAGAACAGAGAGTGGTTGGTATGGAGACGGAAGAACAATGGAGTGTGGGGTGATTGATTGACATTTTGCAGAAGGAACAGTCATGTTTGAGACAATTGTTCAACACTTTGCAAACGTAGATGGTTCTCGGATTTTATTAAGCAGTTCTTTAATTTTGCGTTAAAATAAATTCAGTTTTCCTCACTTGTGTTCTCATTCACTACATTTGGTGTCGCTGTCAATCAGAAGGGAGGAAAGGTGATGTTCTGAGGAGGCCGTTGCGGACCTGGAGCTGGGGTGCTAGAAGGTGACGTCAAGTGGAGTGTTCTGGCGGAGTAACGTTGGCTGTAGCGGGTGCTGTCGACGAAGAGGAAAGGTGGGATGTGCGGCTACTGGGTGGACGTCGGATGTAGATAGCTCAGCAGGTCGCTGTAGCGCAGGCGTTGAACATCCCGGATGCCGGGTGGACATTCAGTGGTCCCAACTTATGTTCTCGTTCACTACAGTACACAAGTACCGAGTTTTGATAGTCAAGTTCTAGATATGTTTTCGTTTAGATCTCAACGATCCTACTATCCTTAATATAAGGGGTTAATAGACATTGCTGAATTATGTGGTTTACATAACGAACTGGCCTTTATCAGGCAACCAGTGAGAACCACGAGGAACTGGACAACTGTTTCGTCTTAGTATACAACTCCTCAACAATGGGCATCCTTTATCCACTCAGGGGTTTAACACAAGGCATTCAGGTCTCTCGAAGAGCGCTTAAGTCTTAAATATCGAATCACCTGAAGGTTCATGTGATATTGTGGGTCCACATTATTGAAGATTTCCATACTCGGAGGAATCAACTATTTAGTTTCCTGTAATTACCTCACTAATGTCGGTGGTTCCTGAAGGAAATTATCAACTACTAGCATCCAGTTGATCAAATTGAGGTGTAGTAGGCATGATTTGAACTTGAAACGTTAATGTTCAAAGACTCGAGTGACCTAACTACTAAGTAAGAACTTCAAATCATTATTTTAAGCTTCATTGAGAAATGTAAAGTGAATATTATTATCATTATATTAAGAGTGCAGTGTACGACATGACAGAAATCGGAAATTCATAAATAGTATTGTGGTGTGTGCTACTGTGTTCGATAGATATAAGTTTTATATGTCATAAGTTGAAAGTGATGTGCCTAGCGGCAAAAGTTTAAGATGATCGAAGAAAAGAGAACGAAAACAGGGAATCATTGGTGTTGAAACGAAGTATCAATGAAGTCTTAGACGATTGATTAACATTTTGTAAATGAATTATTTACTGTGATTCTCAGATTTTACTAAGATGTTTTGTAATTTTGTGTTCAGTTACATTCGATTATCCCTATTTGTGTTCACGTTCACTATAATATCTGGTATAAATTCTTTAATGATGGAATATCTTTTTGCATAAGAGAATCAAAGAGAATAAATATTAATGAATGGAAAACATCACATTTTGTTTTATAGATACAATATTGTACAAAGTACTCTATTAATAAGCCGGTTATTTTTATTTTAATAGCTAAGGGGATAAAACAATTGCATATAAGGCGAAATTATTTTGTGATTCGATAATAATGGTTATTATTCAGTAGTATAAATATTAGACGTGTCCACTTGGATTGATCATTATTTTGACCATGAATATACACACTAATTTTGAGGAGAATATTGGAGAATACTACTTGATGCAAACAAAGAACTTTCGAAATAAGCTCTGTTCACAAACGTCTTAATTATCTTACTGACTGTAGATAGGTTTCATTCTGTCATAGAGATTAATTGAATAGGAATTGCAAACTATTATTTGCAACCAATGGTTCACATTTACTAAATTACTCTAGAAAGGAAATTGGTATGTAATAGGTAGAAGAGATTATCATTATTAATTCATTTACTATGTACAGAATCGTGTATTTGATTTCAAGCTAATTATAAGAACTAGTGATATACCAGTACGCAGTTATCCTAGCCATAGTGTAGATGGAGTGGGTTCGAACCTGCAGATTATTGATTAAAAGTCGAATACCTTAACCATTAGGCTTACTACTCCTTAACCGGGATTCACCTCATAAAGGTAAGAGATTATCGATAAAATACTTCAATTCAATTCACCTTTTATATTTTTCAATTTTTATTACTTTTCTTTTTTTATTTAAAGGTAACACTGCATTACATGATTGTACAGAAAGTGGCAATTTAAAATGTTTACAATTATTATTAAATCATCGAGCTATTATGCGTAAAGATGAATATGGTCAATTACCAATTATGTCTGGTGCAAATGCAGCTTATAAAAAAGTTAGTTTGTTTACTGGTTAATAAAAGATTTTCAATGAAATATGAATGTTACATTAGATCACATTTGACCAAGATAAAGTGAAATAATATATCACTTTTGAAATTTATTTATTTTAACACATAGATATTGGTACAAGGAGGCACCAAATACATATGCGCTACATAAATCATTCAATTTGTGTGTGGGATGTGATACTGCCTGTGTGCCTAGGCCGAAACAGGTGGTTTCCTTAGGGGACCACACCACGAGCCTTTAACCTAAAAGTCTGACCCACAAGTCTATGGAGCATCGTGAGGAGATGCAGTCCCATGATAGCCGGTGACAAACGATTGGTTTATACGCTATTTGTTCCTTCAGGATACTGGAGCCCATGTTCACCATTAGTTTGGAATCCGGTTAGAGCGCCGGACATTCGCTTTTCGTCCTCTCAGTTTTGTAAACAACACCCCCTTCACGAGAAGGCAGTGATTAGGACTTCCCTAGCAGAGGCTTTATACGCGTTGCCGTGTGAGAGCATTTCGAGAGGGAGAGCGGAACTCTCCCCACTCTTGGCATACCAGGGCATTTGGGGGAAGGGTCAAAGATCATAATCACAAGTGATATTGTCAATTTGTATTGGATATATTTTGTGGCGTCTTCAGGTATTTGTTATGTGATTACCGGGAATGATTCTTAGTACTTTGTCGAATTTCCAGTTTATATAGTTCATTATATAAGGATGTCAGAGATAATGTGCTTTATTCGTTTTTAGTAGGTTACTTTTTAAGGTTGTTTACATCTGTCTGTTAGTTAAGCATAGTTGTTTTTATATAAATTTCTAGATGATCTGTAAGCAGCGATTTTGAATGAGTACATCTAGAATATGAAATCTTTTAAAGGGGTTGTAAATAGATAGGAAAAGAAGTATTGGCTTTTTCACTCCCATCCATCTTACTGATGAATTACGAAACCTTATTGTCAATCTTCGAGTTTATGTACCCCCTTCCCGGAACCCTAATTTAATCGACTATAGCACCAATAGCACTTTTATTTTATTAATTTGAAATATGCTATTGGCAAACGCAAGATTACAGTTATGCTACTAATTTTATTGGGACGATATGGAGATGGTAAATCAATCCATTCGAAGAACATAACTTCTGAGATAGTTTGGACAAAAAAATGTGTAGCCATAAATAGGGGGATTATTTCGAAAGAGATAATGAGATTAATAGTCCTTATGTTCTGTAGAATTAAATTTTTATAACTTCATTTCGTGTATCTATTGGATAGAGTTGTATATATGTTATTACTGTTTGATAATCGTGTTAAGTACACACATTATGCGGAACATATCAGGGGCAAAGTCTCTCTGGTCATTTGAAAACTTCATTTGCGATTTGCAGGCTTCGTTTTTCACAGATTAGTTTCTATTAAGATACCATTTGAGAACTCGATAATTGTTTCGTCATAGTATTGGACTCATTAGCATTGAACACAACCTCGCCAGGTATCAAACCTATAATCTTAAGGGCTTGCGACTAACGTTTGACCATTAAAACCACTTGGTCAGCGTCCAATAGTACAGTTTCATCTTCAATCAATTTCCGATATGGCGCAACAATTATTTAATACCACTGATTAAAACTATTTAAACAGTTGAATTCATGAATCGGTCTAAGCTAGACCACCATTCGAAATCCGGAAGCACTGGATGGCCATTTTGTCTCAGAATGGGACTCCTCAGCAGCTGGCATCCATGATCCCTTACGTGTTCGAGCCCCAAACCTTCGGTCTCGTCAGACAATGGATGAAGGGTTTTGCAAGGTCATGGATCGATTGAAGCTAGGCATTAACACCGTTAGATGCCGGCTCGTCGGTCTAGAGATTAAGCGTTCGTGCTCGAGAACGAAGGTTCCATGTGCAGGATCGTGAATGCGCACTGCTGAGGAGTTCAATAATAGGATGAAGTGGCCGTTCAGTGCTTCCAAGTTTTCAATGATGATATAGCTTAGATCGACTCATGAATTCCACCGTTAAATTTACTACAATCTCCACAAATCCCCATACTGATAAAACTATTTCACTCTCGATATTTTTAAACTCTATCAATTAGGACTTCGTAGTTGAACTTCTTAAAGTTGAACATCTTAAAGTAAACCACTAGGGTAAGCTGATCCTTTTAACTAAGTATCGGTTAGAAATCGAGTAATATACATAGATTACTGAGCAACAGATTTACATATTTTGTTGTTGTTAGCTTCCGTGTTATTCAATGCACTGTCTTATATCTGTACACCGGACATAATATTTTATACTGATTTTTTATAATTGTTTTATTATATTATAGATTTGGAATTATGGTTTATTGTTTATATAGATTAATCAGATTTTCATTCACTAGTTTATAAGTTCAAATTTTTCCTTCAATATTATCAGTTCTTACATAATGCTGTGAAGTGTATGTGTTTGTGCATGACTATAAAGGATAATTAAAACGATTAAAAATTAAATTCAAGTTCATACCCGTTGTACAAATAAGATTAGCTAACTGAGTTTATCAACTAAGTGAATAACACGTTGATATTTAAAGCGAAAAGTATTAGATTAAAATCCTGAAGTGAATAACAACACTGGGATGTGATAGATATATATCGAGTTAAGGATAAGTTGTAGATTGAGTAAAATATACTTACATCCTAAATTCCATTACTAACCACCAATTCATCTTATTTATTTACTTGAACATATAAATATTGGTACAAAGGGGTACCGAGTACATATGCGCACCACACAAGTCACTTGATTTGTGTGGGATGGGATACTTCCCGGGTGCCTTTGATCTAAAGGTCTAATCCACAAGGCAGTGGAGCATCGCAAGGAGATGCAGTCCCATGGTAGCCGGTGACCCATAACTGGTTCATACGCCATTTGTTCCTTTAGGATATTGGGGCCCATATGCACCAATGGTTCGTAATCAGGATTTTCCAACTCTCTTGGGTGGATCCTCCATATCCACCAACCCGGTTAAAGCGCCGGATATTCGCTTTTCGTCCTTTCAATTTCGTAAACAACAGTAATGCAGCGAAAGGGCAGTGATTAGGACTTCCTTGGCAGTGGTTGTATACGCGTAACCATGTGAGAACATTTCGAGAGGGAGAGCTAACTCTCCCCACTTTCGACCGTACTAATTCATCTATTCTATGTAAATGATAATAATGATTATCAACCTATGTTTGATAAATATATGATGACATAATTTGTAACTTATAATATAGCTAATTAACAAATCATAATGATCCTCATTAAGCATATTTTCTTTCTTTTTTTGTTGTTGAATTTTCGGTTTCATATAATCTGTAAACAATGTTAAAATATACAATAAAATATAAACTCTTATAGATTGTAGATTATTTGGCTACTGTTGAAATTCCTGATTCAACACAAACAATAAGTGTTAGTGAAAAAGCTGCTGCATATGATCTACTTGGTGCTAGTCTATTCGATCGACATTCTTTAATTCAAGACGCTATAGCTGCTTGGTATCATGCTATAAATTTACGCCAAGAGTCGTCTACGTATAATAATAATAATAATAGTAATAATAATAGTGGTAATAATAAATTTATTCCACATCCAGTACCACAATGCTTTTGTATGAATGAATTAATGTCATGTGTTGAAGGGCAACCAACAATGACAACCACCACCACCACTACTACTCCTACTACTTCAACTACTAATTCATCAAATAATTGTTGGTCATTGATTTCATTAGCTGCACGTGAAGCAATTGGAATGGCTGAAACTAGTCGATTTGATGAACAACATTATTCGTTAACAACTAATTGGCAACGTCATAAAAGATCTACAAGAATTCATGACATTTTATTAAAAAGTTATAATTCCACAAAATTTCATCATCATAATTCAATTCATCAATCAACTATACAACAAAAGTCTACAATGAAATATTCACAAGATTTACATGAATTATTTCAAAAAAAATATAGAAAATTACAAACTGATTTACAAAATGCTTATCAATGTAAATTTGAACATTTAGGTCATTCATTATATCGTTCGAATTCATTAAAAGATTATACTATTGATGTACATTCACCACCATTTTGTTCAGTGTTTCTTCAAGGTTCGCATAATTCACGTTTAGGTTTACGTCGTAATGGTTCTAGTGAGTATTTTGATCAATCTTCTCCTACTAGTTCAATATTATCACAAGGTATTTATAGATCATCACCATCACCAACGAATTCTTTGAATTTTGGAACATCCTCATCCTCCTCTCCACCACCTCTATCAACAACAGGAAATCATAGTGGCAGTTGTACTGGTGGTGTTTTCGTCCAATCTGTTATACCCGTCGATCCTATTCTAGGCTTTGAACCGAAATGTTGTCAAATTGCACGATATCGTCGATGGCTTCTGGAGCCTGTTCATCAAAATTATCAAGTCAGATCGTCGACAACACCTAATCATATTAACACTAGTAACATATCGCATAATAATACAGAGGATTTCACTCCATCCAAAATCATAAATCAATGTCCTAATTGTAAACAAATACTTGTTTCAATGAATAATTTAAGTGAAGAAAGTCTACTTTCAAATCAATCCACCTGTCCCATTTGTAAGACATCACTAATAGTAAATCATTCTTGTAAGTTACATATCATTTACTTCCTTTTACTATGTTTTTTCTCATATAACTTGTAATCCTGCTCCACCAATGTACAGAGGACTGTGCTTGGTTTTAAACTCAAGTTTAGTGAGTCTGCCCGGTTTCTTAAAATGAAGTGGTGAGTAATCTGAATCACTGAACCACCACTTCGTACATTTGCCATCTAATGTGTTATCTTTTGCCTAGAAAAGTATATTAAATGATAGATGTATATATATGTGCTATATTAAGACTTGGTTATTTTTCGAAACAATACACTAATCGATTAATGATATTGTGGAATGATACAATATGATAGAGTATAAACTACTCACGAGACTAGCTTATCAACGCACGCTCCCGAGTTGAACTGAACATCTGAATACAAATTAGCAGCTGCTCAATGGAGTAGACTTTTCACTGTAATAAAAAACACGCTTATGCATAAAATATTAACAGAAAAATATAAACGTAATTAGATGTTACAGATGTGTGTACAATATCTGTCATGATAGAGCAGTGGGAAGGCGGAGTCGAGTTGAAAAAGTATGGTGTATTTGCGTTATACGTTCCGAACGATCTGGTGACACTTGTCAATCGGTTTATGTCTAAGAAAATGATGATCGTTTCAATAAAAGATCGAGTAAACCTAAAGTGATAATCATAAACAAAGACATAAAGAAAACTAATATAATATGTGAAGAATGGAAAATTGTCACATTACCTTATTCTGTAAACTGGTTTAAAGATTGCCAGGGCAGATTCAAGGTTACAATATGTTGTTTCTGTGTGCATAAAGGGGGTTTGGATTTTCTAATAACCAAGGCTTCTATAAACTTGAAAATTCGTCCTTGAAAATTAGTATACAACGTTTTTTAAAAAAAAACCTATTGATGTCAATTCTATACCCCGTTTTATATCGATGAATGATGCTTTCTACTTTCTACGTTTATCGAAGCATTTAACACTAACTGATTTTAAAGCAATGTAAGCACGTATTGCTATAACCCTTGATTGAATTGTTCGATCATTCCTTCTTATGTATATGTGTCCACCCGAACCTGTGGAATGTAATAAAAACGTTTGATGAATGTCTAGACCTATAGGGGATAATAAATTGGATTTTTTTTTCGATTAAAATAGGTTTTGCAGTGTAGAATATTTTCTCAATAGTTGTTCTTGGTCTCTGTCTCAAAATCATACTGTTTGATCGATTCTCTTATAAACATCTATTTTGGTTGATCATTCTCGTATTCACTGAACTATGTAGTCTTATCCATTGTGTTAGTCTAGTTCATTTTATATATCGATCTATTTTTTTTATAGCAAGGATTAAACTGGTTTTTTGAACATGAAAACAACTAAACAGTGTGGTATTAATAATAATAATAATAAGTCACACGTTTATGACATGGTAGAAAGTCATACATATTTAGTAATAAACTGCATTATTAAATTAATCTGAAATTCTCCATATGAGTTTGTAATTATTAGTAATTTATACAGAATGCAGGTTATTGTAAACGTTGTATTTTGACGTTGGAGAGAGTTTGAATACCTTAACACTAATGTGATCGATTTTGAATCATTATTGTCTGATGTTATTAACCACCATCATTATCATGATGATCTCATAGACTTGGATCTTATCATCTAACGTTTTCATCCATAGATTACACACTTATTTCGAATCTCTAACCTGAAAGCCTCCATATTTAAACACATATCCTGTTTAACAATAGACTAATTTGTCTTTTATGCCTAACTTTCTTCTATTTCTTCTCGTCTTAGTTTCAATATTAGGGATAATATAGGAATCTAGGGTTAAAATTGACAAAGTATGCTGTAAGAATTGTCACGACTCTTTTAATCGACAAAAATTCATAGTGCCATCAATCAATTTATCATTTTGATTGCATACTTTCTATCTAACCTTATTATTATTCATTTGGTAAATAGTATCATAATTATCTAGTCCATGTTTAATGGACATCACTAGATGTGTCGTTTATTTTTGTATTATGCAACATTACTATTATTATTATTATTACGATTAACATCAACTTATGATATTAGTAGCATTTATCTTGTATTATATGAGTATAACATGAGTGTTTAGTTTAACTATTCTTGTTAGTAGTAAAGTTTCTGGTTTGCTTGATACCCAATTTACTCCGGATATCGCCGAAAGTGAAGAGAATTCAATCTCTTCTTTTTAAAATATTCTCATATGATTAAGTGTATATAGCCTACTGTTAGAGAAGTTCTACTCATTACCTTTTCGTGGCAGTAATTATTGTCTTATACAACATAAGTGTATATCTCATAAAACGATGAATAATACATGAAAACCAACATAGTTGATAAACAAATTACATCACATGAATTTCATAATAATTTAATCAAATAATAGTTCTCATATTTTATAAAATTTAATTGCCAAATTTACCTACCTACCTACCTACCTACCTACTTACCTACGTACATACATACGTACTTACGTATACACACGTACGTACATATGCTATTTTATCATTCTTAATATCATAGTCATTGTTTTACTTCTCTCGTTTTCATATTTTAGCAAATTCTTCAAATGAAAATCAAACAGTCCATTCAACAAATCAGTATTCTAAAGTATCTTATCCTTACGAATCAAATAATAATGATAATAATCATAATTATTATAATAATGTAAGTTTTATTAGTTGTGTTCAGCAAATATATTCAATAATAATATCAGTTAGACGGTGGTTTAATGATGTTGAATAATACTTGACTGATATTTATTCAGGTTACAAGTTCGAGTCCCACTCTAGTTACTTTAATATTGAACAGTTCGATAACAACACCATACCTGTTTGATGCATATATATATATATATATATATATATATATATATATATATATATATATATATATATATTCTGTTACTGTTATATATCAAAAGAGTATCTGACATATAAACAAAAGCAACATGATGATAAGAAATTAAACAACAAGAAGGAAGTACAATAAAATAATAAATAAATGAGATTAGTGTATAATCGGTGGATGAGATACAATTCAATCACGATTCCAACCGGTATATCATAATGGGTTGATAGTCATCGATCATAACTTGAAAGTATAAAAATATAGTACCTATAAGTCTGTGCTTAACTTTTGTGCATTGAATTGCCACCAACTTTTTTGCACACCCTATCTAAGTGAGTTCCATATTGGATACTATTTGCTGCTATTTAGACTAGTGGTGGGTTAGGGTAGCATTCTTTATGTTACAGCTCAAACCGTTGAACCTAAAAGTGAATATTTTTATTGAAGATAATCCATATAACCTAGTTGGTTACTATTATCTAAGTTACTGAAATACTGTAAACGGGTAGAATATACTACTGACGGTCAATTAGCAACCGTCTATATCCTTTAGGTTTGACTCAAACGTATTTCATAAAACTCAATGGATTATCAGGGCAAAAAGGAAGATTATATTTCTGTATCGGCTATTAACTAACTGGAAAGTGACAACCGCCTTTATTAACTTATTCACCGTGTTTTTGTTCTATTATCTTTTAACAGAATGAAAACAATCTTAAATATGTTTGTCCAGTATGTCATTTTGCCACTGAAAATCATCCGTTAATTCGTCGATTAAAACAATGTGGTGAAGAAGCTTTTGGACATGTTTGTGAATTTCAAACACGTGAAGATCTAGCAAGTTTAATGTCAAATACACATGTTCTACGCTTACAATCATTGCTTATACGCTTACGTATATTAGGTCCAGATCATCCAGATACCATTTATTTTATCCGGTAATTAAAGTGTTTTATTTTACATAAATTTGTTGTTTTTATCGCATGCATTAGTGCCGGAAAGTTGGTGAAAATCAAGGGGATGATGTTTAGTCTTAGTTTTTTTCTAGATTCTCTAAATAACGTGCACGACACCGACTACGCAAGCTATTCAGCTTAGGATATTGAAGTCTTCTAAGATGCGTATTAAGTTTTATTGTTCTCCGTTTGAATTAAAATTTTTGTAGCACCATCACAGATGATATAGTTCTATTTGATGAACATCCTGAAAAAAATTCAGAGTCTTCTGGCCACCTTGTTCATCATGTTCAGAATGCGATTCTCTACCTCCAAATGTAAGATATTGCTTTAGGAATGACCTCTATTAATGCTTAAATTAATAAACGACAGTAACGTAGTTAATCGTGTCAAACACTTCTTTTGGAGGTCTCACCAGTCCTAGTGAGTTGACGACTGACGAAATTTAGACAGGAATTCAAAAATCCCAATTGGTTCTTTCCAACCTTTGTTACTTGTGGTGTAAGTGAGATGCTCGTTCGCCAGCCAAAGGACGAGTTTCTTGTACAGCAGTTCACTTTGTCCTAATTGATAAGTGTGAAAAATGGTCTTTGGAAGTAGAGGATATTTGTTAGTCACTATTATTCCACCGTCTTTGAAGCATTGCTCGTTAACTTTGGGACCGCAGTGTAAGGAATGCCTGGGTTAGGAATGGTTCTTTAGGTAAAGATGGTAAATTGATTGATGAGATAGTAATGCTTCATTAACTTAAGTAGTTTGGACATGTGATGCGTATACTCCACCAACACCCACTTATATGTGTTGACTGGTATGGGAGTAGTCTGGAAGAAGGCTATGGGCGGCTAAGCCAAAACATGGCAGCCGTCCACGAAATCATTGACTACTGGACTGAGCCATGTTAATAGGTGTAGACTGCTGGGCTAGGATCCTCTTGATTGTCGAACCAGTAAGATTGATATTTTGACTGAATACCAAGTACTTTAAACCACTAATCAATCATATCAATGGGTTGGACTTTCGAATCCCTTGCCATTGAATCTCATATTTAATTACTACATTGTAAAGAAAGCATAAATAAGTGTTATTATTTTTAATGGGACAGTGTTTTTTTCATGATTCATTTATATTTTAATACATTATAATAAGTTATAGGGTACTGTGAAGATATTTTCACATCAAAAACTGTCATTATTTATTTATTTGAACACATAAACACTGGTACAATGGGGCACCAAATACATATTCACCACATATCAACAATCGTTATTGATCAGGTCACGAGACATGAAAGTCCTGAACTGTGGATGAGGATTGTTGTGGGGTTTCATAATAAATCGAAACATCTATCCAGTACTTTCTAGCATCCCATAATTATTAAAATAAATTAAGTCGTCCATTTGATATTATAAACAATAAGTAGTTTTCTCAAAGATTATTTCACATTTCTACATGCGTCTACAACTGCATAGAAACAAACATGTCTACCATAATAATAATTTGCACCGCGACTCATCTGACATGACCAAGATACCGATGCACGCCGCGACGGGTGTTATGTACGAAATTGAGAGGACGAAAAGCGAATGTCCGGTGATTTAACAGGTTTGGTGGATATAGAAGATCCACCTGAGTTGGAAAACCCTAATTCCCAACCAATGGTGTACATAGGCTCCAGGATTCTTATGGAACGAATGGCATATGAACCTATCGTTGGTTACCGGCTACCATGTGACTGGATCTTCAAATGTTGCTCCAGTGCCTTGTGGAGTAACCTTTAGCTCAACGGCTCCGGATGTGGTGCCCTAAGAAAACCACCTGTTTTGATTTGGACACTCGGTCAGAATTCCAGCCCTCACATAAATCGAATGATTTATGTGGTACATATCTATTTGGTGCCTCCTTGTACCAATGTTTATGCGTTTAAATAAATAATTAATGGTACTGCTGATTTTCTTAACCATTAGTCTTTCGTATTTTTCTCTTTTCTTTTATAGTTATCGTGGAGCAATTTATGCAGATGCAGACAATTTTCATCAATGTTTAAGTTTATGGCGTTATGCATTAGAATTACAACGTACATTTGTTGAACCATTATGTCATGTATCACAAGCTGCATTTGTTAGTTTTGCTGAATTATTTCATTTTGTATTAACAAATAATTGTATTGGTTTACCAGCAAAAGATTTAGATCCAACATTGATTGTAGATTGTTTAGAATTAGCTGTAGATAATATTGAACGGTAAGTAACTTTTAATGATTATTATTTATTTTTCTACATAATCTATTTACTTACTTACACCTGTTACTCCTCGTGGAGGTGCATAGACCGCTCACCAGCATTCTCCATCGAACCCTGTCCTGGGCAATCCTTTCCAGCTCCTTCCAGTTGTTATTCATCTTTTTCATATCTGCTTCTATTTCCCGACGTAATGTGTTCTTTGGCCTTCCACTTTTCCGCTTCCCTTCAGGATTCCAAGTTAGAGATTGTTTCGTGATGCAGTTTGATGATTTGAGTAATGTATGTCCTATCCATTTCCATCGTCTTTTCCTAATTTCTTCTTCAGCTGGAGGCTGGTTTGTTCTCTCCCACAGAAGGCTGTTGTTGATGGTATCCAGCCAATGGACATTGAGTATTCTGCGTAGACAATTATTTATAAATACTTGTACATGTTTGATGATGGTTGTTGTAGTTCTCCAAGTTTCAGCTCCATACAGTAGAACTGCCTTGACGTTCGTATTTAAGATTGTTGTTTTGAGTTCCATATGTTCTTCAATTTTAGGAATGCAACCCTTGCTTTATCAATCTCTTACTAATTGAATTATGATATATATTGGGTGACATTCTGATAGTAGGGCAAAATAATCTTAGGAACTTGGAATATATAACGATAGTGTTCTCTTCTGGAGAGATTAATACTTATGTTCTTGTGAACATTAACATATAACTATCTTATTAAATAAAAGCTGATTTGATAATATTTCCTGTCGCCATAAAGTGTAATTCTAATAGTCATAGTTTAGAGTTTAGATGTTAACGATAATTGTTAAGATGGTCTATCTCTGGCTTTTTTTATGATTGTGATGACTTTCTGGTTAAGGAACTGTCTGAGTTGTTTAGAAAGAATTGGCGATTGGAGAGTGTTCCAACATCATGGAATGACTTTATGGCTGTTCCTATCTATAAAAAGGGTTCACGTCGTTTCTGTAACAATTTTCGGGAGACAAGTCTACTTCCGATTGAGTCTAAACTACTGGTTTCCGTCATGCTTCGTAGCTTGTTCAAAATCCAAGAAAGATTGACTCGCTTGGAGCAGGCTGGTTCACTATTGTGTGTCCGAGCATAGCGACGATAATTCAATTGGTGTCGCTTTGTTACCACAGAGGGGATAGACAAAATGGAAAAATCATACTTATCATCAGCTATAAGTTTCTGTTTGTATTTTACAGTATTCAGTATGTTGTGTTTTCTAAAAACATTTCAGCAAATAATACGAATCTTATACATTATTGATTAGTTAAAAGTAAATGGGACATTTATAAGAACCCTTATATTCATGGTATTGTTTACCATAAATTTCTTCTTGAAAGATAACCAGTGCATTCTTCCTTTTATCGTGAGAGATAGGAAGGTTTTCAAGCACTTGAACAATCATATGTAATGACACTGGCCACCAATGAATTATGAACGTTCAACAGGGTTTGTCAACGAGTTTCTTGCTAGCAATCTTATGAGCACTCGAGAGCACCAACCTCCCTAATCACCAAACCTGTCTTCTTGAGATTTATTTTTATCTTCTAAATATAGATAGACTATATAGGTGGAAAGCGGCGGCACTAGCACAGTTCAAAAACGATAAATAACAGCAACGATTGGAAGGGTTTTGAAGAACTTGATTTCCTGCATGTTTTAAACAATAAGAACTAATGAAACAAATATTTGTGTATATATACATATTACCATAACTGGGGTTTGGGGAATGTATTCCATAAGCAGCCAGAAACACGAGCAATAACAACAAAGCACAAATCAAGCCTATATATACAGTATAAAGATGTCATTGGGAGGCGTTACAAAATAGCATATTAACAGTGATAACGGACCAATGACACTTAAGGCCCTCCCAAATGAGAAACAAAGGTGAGAATGGAAGCTTTTGGCGCGAACACAAGAAATTCAACTTTTTAAAATAGAATTACAAAAATAAGGTATTTGTCAAGTGAGCTCTGACGATCTAACATCCCCAACAGATAACATATTGATAACTTTGAAAATTTTATAGTTTTTACAATCTTGATCTGTATATTTATTGATCAGAGTAGTATGTGTACTGGCATACATTTTTTTCTTTTTTTCTCTTTCTAATGATTAACAATAGCGGAATGGATTATTCATTTTATCATTGGCATCATCGACATCCATGGTCATATACAGCAGCGGATAAAGAAGCGATTAATTTAATGCGTCATGTATCATTATGTTTACATTTTATAGCAATGATTCTTATTCATTATATGCCAAATTGTAAAGCTTTACCAACCATACGTTCTATTCGACGTCAATTATCTAATTTAACACAAGTAGTTGAAGAAAATTTCAATGAATTATTACAAAATTCTACATTGAATTTATCAAATATTATGCTTAATCGACAAGAGCTAATTAATAATAATAATAATAATAATACTGAAAATGAATCACAAACAGATAGTTTATCTAATGATATGAAAAAACGTATGCCAATTGAATTGAAACAACGATTTTTCCGTCAAGTAAGTGAATTACTTCTCTATGTAATGAATATCACTTTATTATCTTCAAACGATGATAAATTAGTTGATGGTACTATGAACGTGATGATAGGACTTGTAATGTAACGTTAACTGGCGTAGAAATAAAGTGTGAAGAAACTTGGAAGGTGTTCAAACCAAAATGGAGCATCAATCGATGATTATGAATACAGTGGTTTTGAGTGCTCTTAGAGGTATGAGGGCGGTTATCACTTCCCGATTGACCACACCGTGGAAGGGTTCTTGTGGATGTACCTGAAAAGGAAATTGGATTAGAGGTGGCCTTAGTGACCCGAGAGCGTAACCGTAGTGCTCAAGGGACAACTGCTTGAGGTCGGTCACACACGACTTTTTGATGAGTAATCTTTGTGTTAGCTCCCTACTTGTTGAGACCTCACCATCGGAGACGGATATTTGTGGGATAAGGCGAGGTGTGCATTTTTAGGGTTGACCTTTTCTAACCCCACCCCTCCCTGTAGGAAGGCAGCATCGCTGTCATGCTGGTTGTCTGAAGGAAACACCTTACTGCTGTCACACCTCTGTACAGTCAGCAGTGCGACCTCGCCTTCGGACCTTGGGTTTGTTGCTTTTAGTCTTACCGCTCTTCAACCGACCTTTCTGACGTGGTAGAACCTTGAGGAACGGTTGTTCCAGCCAGTATAGCTTGGTTGTTTCATCAAGATCGGCGAGCCGGACCACCACGTCAAGGTAGCAACAACGGTCTTCCCTTAAACTAAGAGATTAAAAACGCTTCGTATCTTTCTTTCTACGAAAAAATTCTTTCTTCCTGTCCGATATCCTTACATGCAATCTTTCTTTTATATATTACCACCTCTGAATTAATTACTTTTATGAATCCGGTGTTCATCTTGTTGTGTTAATGAGGTATGGCAACTTAGATCGATGCATATATGTGCTTGGTCCTACGTTGTAGCTGACTGATTGACTGATCACTCAATGAATTGATTAATTATTGGTCTTATTCATGATGGTATTTGTACATTATCTGTTTGCACTCTACCGTGATAATCATGATCAGTGATTGATTGATATGGCTCGAAGTTGGTCACTGTGATCTAGATATATTCATTAGATTCGTAACACTGATATCACTTTATATTTCTTATTTCCTTTTCGAGCACAGTTGGGTTGTAGTGGTTAACAGTTTCGGTGTTTAGAGCGAAAGAAACAGGGTTCGAGTCTCGATGTGAACATCAATACTGGGATTTGGTAAATACATCCATCTGGCGAGTCTCGAACTGAAAAAAAACTCACGATTCTTAGATTCCACTGTTAACCACTCTATAAAATTTGCTTACAAACACTTATGACTAATGTCGAAATCGAGACTGATCATTTGTAGTCCTTAACACAAACAACGGAGAGATTTGTAAACTTACATTTGAAATATTTCTTATCACCTTATCTCGTCTGTTCTTTTCTATCTTTTTTCCTTAATGCCTAGTTTAATTGTCAATCTCAATGGCACAGATGCAATCGCTCTTCTTTCACTTCGTGCATTCTTAGTTTCAAAGTTATTTTATATCTCGAATCCATCCTTCTCGATTCATTTCCTTTTTTTCCTAATTCTACAACGTTGGTACTTATTTTGATAATGTCTTATCTCTGTGCTGATGTATCGTTTCAGCGTGGGTCTATCGCTAAGTTTTATATTGGCCGATTGACTGACTTTATACTTTCAAATGATGTTTTTGTCTGGCACATCAATCTATAATATTTTTTCCGTTGATTAGAATAATGATTTCCAGTTAATGAACCTACTGGAAGTCATAATATTCCCATTGTCTATATAGTATTATAAGGTTAAAAATATATGGACCATAAGGGATGTCATTAATTTATCACTTCATTGACTACTGAACTAAACCGTAATTAGGAATTGAAATTTTTCTGATTTATGGTCATTCAGTCAAACGCTACTTAGAACCTGGGACATGTTTACATCACCTCAAGTTGCCATAACTCATTAGCATATGAGAGATCAAATTGTCAGCTCAAATCTTTGAGTAGTAGAGGTAATAAAAAGATTAACAGTAACAGAAACGACTGTACATCGGAGATACAATTCGAGAAGAAAATATAAATTAGAAACAAAATCGAAAAAAAACTTGTGGGTAATTGAGAAGCTAAGAATCTGAGGGAAAACAAAAAGTGAAAGAACCTATGTCATTGTAAACGATTTTGATTCACGTCATCCAAAGTCTTTGGCCATTGGTTACGATGATCACGTGGACTGTAACCAGGTAGTCTTCACTTGCTTACATGACTTAACATTCAATGTCTTCATGTCTTTGTTTGTTCACCCATAGCTGTCTTCAAACCTACATATACAGCAGCCATCATCAGGCTTGTAGGTAGATGGTGAGTGGGCATACGTCATATTTATCCCAACCATCTCGGTCAATAAAGACTCGCCACCTCGTCATTTAGTTTGCCACCCTTAGTACTCTGCGTCTAACCTCAGATTCTTTAATTCAATGGTACCAACACGTACTAGCACTTCTTGGAAGATTTATATGATGGAATACTAGTAACTTACAAATATTCTCATACTCATAAAATAGAATGGAGCGCACTACTGTACAGGACACTCGTCTTTTGATTGGGAAACAGGTTTCTTGCCTACTCAACAAGTAATGTAAGTTGGCAAATACCAACCGGACTTTTAATTATGGTGGGATATAAGTTTTCACAATCTATTTATAGATAGAAGACCTCAACTGACGTAGTTCGAAATCGGTTACATATGTATGGTCTTCTAAACTCTAGGTTATTTAAATCATAATATATTAAATATGAAGTATCGGACTATTAGACCTGATGATGTAAAGTGCAGATAATATTCTACAAAATTTATTTTTCTGATTGCCTTAATAGTAAAATCTAATGTTTTGTTAACACTCGATATATAATACGAAACTACAATGAATAATCGACTGAGTACATTAGGTAATATCTCTTGGTAATTAAATCACTAGATATTAGTTCACCTGATAGACAAACAAAATTCCGACTAATTATTAAAAACTAGATTATATGAATAGACATTGACGTTTATGAGCGTAAATGCAAAGTATAGTATAATGAAATCACTAGTTGAAAGGAATTTACAATACTATGTAATTTATTTATTTGAACATATAAATATTGGTACCAGAGGGCACCAAATATATATGCGCCACACAAAACAATGAGAATTCGAAGAAAAAAGGAACAAAGGAACGAACAGTTTAGTGTAATATAGTGTAATAATTAATAATAGTAGTAATAGTAATAATAGGAGAGACAGAAAGATACAATCGGAAGAAATCTTCCAGTTAAGGAAGATACAACCAATTTTTATAAAGTAAAAGAAGTTTACATCAGGATCGCCACTGGCTTCTATTCTGAGCCATATCTGATAACGTCTCTAGCCACTGTGTTGCACCATCTCTAGGATCCCAGCCAGGGAGTCGTGAAGGACCAACAGAAGCCAGCCCTTTGCAGCTTTCTTTCATATCACGACACCATGTCATACACTGATCACCTCTCCACTTTTTCCAACCATTCCAAGAGTCGGCAAATAATGCACGACGTGGAATTCTCTGGGACGACATTCGTAGAACATGTCTAAGCCACCGAAGTCGATGTTTCAAGATGGTGACACCAATTGGATTATCGTCTCTGTGCCCAAACACACGATGCCGAACCTCTGCATTACTAACATGGTGTTGCCACTGGATGTCAGCAATCCTTCGGAGACATCGATGATCGAACACAGAAAGTCGTCTAACGTCCTCAACTCGGAGAGGCCAGGTTTCACAACCATAGAGCAAAACTGCTCTCATCGACGCGTTGTAGATCCGATCTTTTACAGCCAGACTAACATGACGAAGGCGCCAAAGGTGGCCGAGATTGGCATAAGCCACTCTGGCTTTCACTATACGTGCATTGATCTCATCACTCACACCCCCACCAGCACTTATGCAGCTACCCAGATACACGAACTTCTCGACTACTTCTATCTGCTCACCATCCAGAGTGAGTACAGGATTAGAATGCTGCCAGTCTTGTAGAAGTACTTTGCACTTCAAAGGTGCAAAGCACATACCATACCTACGGACATTGATTGCCAACTGATTAAGTGCGGATTGCACGGATTGAGTATCATCCTAGAGTAAGACTATCATCTGCATATTCAAGGTCGAGAAGTCTTTCTCTAGGCAACAGATCCACACCACCATTACTTACATTCATCAGAGATGTTTCTAGAATGTCATCGATGGCAAAGTTGAAGAGGAATGGTGTGATTGGGTAACCCCAGCAAGATCAGATGGAAGATGCCACAGGGTCGTCGGATAAATGCACGTAAAACAAGCTTTTTTAAGCGACAGATGGAGAGCGAATTTGTAGTACTTCACCAGAGTCTTGAATACGGGTCTCGGATAGACAACAAACGTCGACATTAAGACTTTGCAAAGACAGCCAGCTCTATCTGTTGTCCAACCTGCATAAGTGTGCGAACGTTGAAAGAAGCCAGTTTGAATGGTGCACGTGGTTTCAGAAAAACTGCTTCAGTATTCGTATTTGGTGGTAGCATACAATTTTCATTCAGGTAGTGATTCGAGGACGTTTAGATAGAACAGGGTTTCCATCATGGGCGAGCTGCTGTATAAGTCGAAAACTAAGGGTACATAAAGTGGGAATAAAAGAGTGAATAAATGACGTAAAAAATAATAACAATAATAGTAATAATAATAATGTGAATCGTTTGATTGGTAATCGAAGTAAGGAAAGTATTTTCCATAAATATCGGCATTTCATCATATTTGTGTGTGGGCTTGGATACTGCCCGGGTCCCCAGACTGAAGCAGGTCGTTTTCTTAGGGGACCACACCCCGATCTTTTGACCTAAAGGTCTGATCCACAAGGTAGTTGAGCATCGTAAGGAGGTGCAGTCCCATGGTAGCCGGTGACCGACGATTGGTTCATACGCAATTTGTTCCGCAGAATAGTGGAGCCCATGTGCACCATTGGTTTGGAATCCGGTTAAAGTGCCGGATATTCGGTTTTCGTCAACAACACCCATGGTGAGAGAATTCATTGAGTAGGATTTCCCTGGCAGAGACTGTATACGCGTGGTCGTGTGAAAGCATTTCGAGAAGGAGGGCGGGCCCACCCCACTCTTGGTATACCAGGGCATTTGGGGGCTGTCTATTGTTGTTCACAGATCACCGTTTTGAATAATTTTCATTAGTTTAGTGTAACCCGTTTGCAAGGAGTTATTGATTACTAATCAGATGCCAAGATGAAGCCGATCTCGAACCTGGGACCTAACAATTGATGGCTGAATTCTTGAATTTTTAATCCACTAATTAGTTGTTTTTATAATTAATATGTAAGCAATAGGTTTGTATTGTTTCATTACGAATAGATTCAATGTTCAGTATATAATTACAATAAATAAATAATTATAATCAGAGAAGGGTATTTTGTGCGGATGTTATAGTAATTTAATGGTTGATTTCATGAGTCAAGTGAAGGTAGAGCACTATGGAAAACCTGGTCTGGTGGTTAAGCGCTCGCGCGCGAGACTGATAGGTCCTGGATTATCATCTAGCGAGTTGGGCTCGTGGATGCGCACTGCTGAGGAGTCCCATACTAGGACGAAACGGCCGTTCATTGCTTACCGGTTTTCCATGGTGATCTAGCTTCAATTGACTCATGGTCTCAACTATTAAGTAAATAATTATTTCACCTTGAACAAGGTAAGGTATGTGCAGTTAATCGATTTTGTTCGTCAAATACAATTTATTGACTAACATTTTCTTCATTATTTGTTTTTTTTTTATTATCTAGGTTTATAGATTAGTCAAGTTAGATCCTAGAGTACATCGTGGTCAAAGTTTAATACATTTAGCTTGTTCACCAGAAACTTCAACTGTTGGTCGTTTTGTTATTTGTACTTTTCCAAATGTCAATGTTTTATCTTTGCTATTTGAATTAGGCGCCGATGCTAATTGTGCTGATGTTGATGGACAACGTCCAATTGGTCATGTTTTAGCACAACGTCGATTAAAAAGTTCTGAACATGTATGTATATGAATATATATACTTAAGTGTGTGTGTGTGTGTTTGTGAGCATTTTATTCCACATTGAATTATATGTAATTTTTCTGCTTTGTTTTCTACTTTTCAGGTAGGTAGTTGAATCCAGGAAGTGTATTTTCATCCATATTTTGTAAATATGCTATTTCAATATTCCATCGAAGTACCTGTGCACATAATAGCCCATATAATACGGATTCATTTCATTAAATGAAAAGGAATCTTTGAGTCCTTGTTCAACCATGATTCAAAAACATTTAATTACAGAAGTCTAGCGTTTTTTCCTTTGATAAATTTAGCTAGAGTAAAAATTTTAACAGCTGAATTTATGAGTCGACCTAGGCTAGACGACGAGTGAAAACTCGGGAGCACTGGAAAGCCATTTCGTCCTAGTCTGAGACTCTGCAGTGGTGTACACTCACGATCTCTCACGTTTGACTCAAACCCAGGGCCTTTGGTCTAGCACACGAACGTTTAACCTCTAGACCACAGAGTTGGAATCCAGCGCTGTTAATATCTAATTTCAATTGATTTATGTTCTTGCGCAACCTTTTATTCATTGTCTAAGGTGAATAACTGTCTCCATTAGTCACGACTTCTCACTAGAACTCCAGGAGTTCCATCTTGAAGTTAGTCAATAATGAGCACATGATTATTATCAGAATAAGGATTTGTGGAGATTTTAGTAATTTTAACAAGTGATTTCATGAGCCGATCTACAGCCTTCACAAATCTCCATTCTGATAAAGCGAAAATAACAAATGTAGCAGAATAAGAATTCATTTCAATATCATGGATTCGCATCAACTGTTACTTATAACCTAGAGACAATAACCTGTTTCGGTCTGTGCACCCGGGCAGTAACACAGCCCACACACAAATCAAGTGATTTGTGTGGCATCCGTATTGTGATACCTGTATCTGCCGCAGATCGTAATCCACACACAAAAGTAAAACATCTAAACTGGTCTGGCGATATTTCCTGTATTCGGAACTGCTCACATTCCCAGTTTGCGATGTTGACATACGTCACTTAGTAATCCTGTGGTCTTTTCACAAACTGAAGACACTAGTATCTAATGTGAAACATTGATGATCGTTCCATCAAACATATGTGTCAAGCACTCCGCTGTTCCCAGGAAGGTTAGGTCGGCTGGATTCTTTGGGAGAATAAAACTACAAAACTTTTCATTCTCAAAATCTGAGTTTTCATAGTAATAATCTCAGTATTCGAAGTTATAGTAGAATCAGATACCTGGGTTTTTGAAGATATTAACATATTCTTGACCAACAAATTGATAAGAGCATTTTTCTGTTTCAATAATGATTTCAGATTATTCACTTTGACTGAGTATATGCGTGTAGGTCTGCTTCAACTACCGTCGCCACTGAAATGACTCTCAATTTTCTCCTTTACACCAATGGAAGTTGCCTTAGACGAATATCTACACTAGATGATACCCTGCAGGTGTCTATTATAGTAAACATCAGCACAACTAAGCTCAAGAACACGTAACTGGTCTGACTAGAACGTGAATTGTATTTCAATGTCAACAACCGACAAAAGTAATGTTGAAAAGGGGTCGGAAAATAAATAACACACCTAATACCTATCAGATTATCTAGTAGTCTGACTACGTAAGCAACCAGTCGTTATTTTGTTCACCTACATATCATCTTGTTAACTTATTTCCTTAGAGACATCGTATTAACTAATGTTTCTCGTAAGTGGACTATGTGACATATGGATGATTTTTAGAGGATTGTTGTTTCGCGTGAGATTATATTCTGTGTCATAGTCAATTGTCTCTAAATTGTGGATATACCCAGCCAATGAGTCCCAACGACAAACATGAAAAAGGTCTCAGTTCTTCTTTGGATCAATCAACTTATTGATCACTTGATCAACTGAATCTGTTCAATACCTGTAAATCTAACAACATTCAACATTGAAGTACTATTCAATAATTGGCTCTCGCTTTAAATGTATTTATTTATTTTTCATTCATATGTTATCCATTTTTTTTTGGTAGGCCTCTCTTGTTCATACTCTGGTTAAATGTGGTGCTCATTTAGATGCAACCAATCGGAATTCTCTAACTATCCTCTATAAACGTTTTCATCATGTACTCCTGGAATCTCGTGTACAAATTTTGGATCATGTGACTTTAGCTTGTCATGCTGCTCGTGTAGCAAATCATTATGGATTAACTGCATCGAATCCATTAGTTCAAGCTTATTTACCGAATAATTTATTATTTTTCTTACAAATGCATCAGTAAACAACTAAATGGTTAAATGGCTTGATGTATTTTTTTTCTAATTTAATTTAAAATCAAAAACATTGTTTACTCGAATTGTTTGGTTGTTTCCTACCCCACCCACAGTTTTCTCAAAGTTTAGTTCAATCGTTAATAATATTAAAAGGAACAAAAAAAACACAGTACAAAACAGCACAATATCCCTGTACACAACTATTTTTTTCTTCTTTAAATTCTTATAGTTTTAATCTCTTTATATGAGTTGTTTATTCCCACCCCACCCCATCTCTCTCTCTTCGTTACCCCCCATCCACCCACCCAGAAACACATATACCCATTGCGCCAACATATTACTATCATATATAAATGTATTTTGTTTTTTAAAAAAACAAACAAACAACAAATTGTATAATCTTTTATTTTAAGTGTTTAATTTGATCAGAAAGATGTTTCATTAATTAATTTCAATAAAATACTTTTCTATTTTAATTGTGTGATATTTATTGTTGACGTTTATTTGTGTTTACTATGACTAGTATTATGATGATGATGATGATGATTATGATTTCTTTTTTTTTCGATTGATTTTTCCTGTTGCTATATACATACACATTTGTTTCTGTACAGATCTTTTTTTTTTGTTTTTTATTTTAAAAAAAATTAGATGAATGATTGAATCAAATACCTTTGATATTGAAAACAATAAGAGGTAATGAGTGAGTAAAAAGTTTGTTATTGTTTTGTTTTATTGGTTAATGATTTGTAAACGTAAAATAAATTATCTACTTTATTATTATTGGTTTTTTTTATGGTATTTTCAGTAGTGGTACAACTGAGAGTATGAAGAGTTACATCTCTTTCTTGAAATGGTCATGTGCATACAATCACTGTTAGGAAAGTTTTTACTCATTGCCTTTTTTCGTATTATGGGTGTTATTTACGATTTAACAAGTTTGGTGGATATAGGAAGATCCACCTAGGTGAGTTGGAAAACCCTGATTCCAAACCATTGGTGTACATAGACTCCAGGATCCTTAGGGACCAATTGTTGGTTACTGGGTACCATGGGACTGAATCTTCAAATGTTGCTCCAGTGCCTTGTAGATTAGACCTTTAGGTCGAAGGCTCTGGGTGTGCCCTCCTAAGGAAACTACCTGTTTTGATTTGGGCACGCGGGTAGTATCATATCCCACACACAAATCGAGTGACTTGTGTGACATATATGTATTCGATGCCCCCAGTATTTATGTGTTCAAATAAAATAAAATAAATGATTGAGATGGTAAGTAATATATACTCCTCAGCAGTGCATATTCATCATTATTAATCCATCGGGATCGAACTTTGGTAGATTTGTGGATATACACTGTTGAGGAGTTTCATGCTTGAATGAAACAACATTCCAGTTCCTTCTGATTTTTAATAATCGTCTATTTTAAGCTAGTTCATAATTTCATTAACATTTAGCAACTTCTACAAACCCTCATACTGAAAGTAATAAATGGCTGTATAAATATAACAGTACTCATTGTTAGGTGAATAATTTGTAAAAGGTGGAACCTTGAGAAATATTCTGCCCTATTTGTAAGATTTCACTTAAATCATTGACTTTTGAGTGGAACTGTAGTATATAGATGAACTCTAATGATTATTTTTAAAATGATCACACTATTTCGACTCTAATTTGTCGGCAATTCGTCAGAGACTTCATATTTATGAAGCTTATTTTTTATTCGAGTCCTATTAGAACCTTTTCAACTTTTATTTCATGATTAGATAGTCACTTATCACCATGAGTATGAATGTAAATTAATTCAGGCTAGAAGTTTCTTTCTGAATCTTTCTCATCATTCAATTTATGTGGGGGCTGTGATACTGTTCAGGCGCCCAAATCGAAGCAGGTGGTTTTCTTACGAGTTCACACCCAGAACCTTCGACTTAAAGGTCTGATCCACAGGGCACTGGGGCAACGTAAGGAGTTGCAGTCCCATGGTAGTCGGCGATCAACAATTGGTTCATATGCCATTTGTTTCTTTAGGGTCCCGGATCCCATGTACACCATCGGTTTGAAATCAGGGTTTTCCAACATCCCTAGGTGGATCCTACATAACCACCAACCCCGTTAAAGCGCCGGACATTCGTTTTTTATCCTCTCATCTTCATAAACAACCGCGGTGCGAAAATACAGTGAACAGGACTTCTCTGGCAGTAGTTGTTTTCAAATGGCTATAGGAGAGCTGACTCATCCCACTCGGTTGTACATGGGCATTTGGGGGCGAAACCGAACTATAAACAAAAAGACTTCTAAATTCAATATAAACATGTTCATATAAAATGAAAACTGATTAATTCATGTGTTATGTAAAATCTTTGTGTAAAATGTGAGTACTCTATAGGTGTAATATCATTTTTACTCTATGATGACAAAAGGAATTTTGCTGAACATTCTTGGTTTGTATTACTAATTAGGTGAACATCATAAAATGCATTTATTGTTACATGTTGTTTATTAACCAATACATGACATTAGATTCAAACAAATCTGATCTTATTTTACAGAAGTTTGTGATTCACTAGTCTTAGCTCGTTCAGAACATTCCACATTTATGGTCCTAGACTCCGTTGCAGAAGCTCAACACTTCCTTAGGATGTCTTTGATTCAGGCTTCTTAGCTATCTTATTGTTCTGTATTTTGCTAGAATTGTTTGTTCAGAAAAAGTCATCCAGACGGTGAGTCGGGGAGAGGAAATGCTATGTTCGAAGCAATCATGTGTTCACCTAGTCTGCGAACAGAATAAAGACTCTGTGACCAAAGACCAATAAGCTAGCTATCCTGATGCGTCCCAGCCCCGCTAACTAGAGAGAAAAGTGGAATTTCAAACGGGGAAATATATTCCACAAGCAGCCAGAAGCACGAGCGATCCCGACCTGTCTAGTCGGAAACACACTCATTTATATATTGGTTTGTACACCCATTTTTTGATTAATAATCCGAATAAATCAAATATATGGAAAAAAAATACTTCATACAACAATATCATATGTTATGCAGAATAAAATGTCATAGACGAAAACGAAACCGAATACTATACAGAATGATCAACAAATTGAATTAAACGGAATTAATGTTGAATAGATATCATAATAAATAAATCAATCAAATTTTCACCTTTCATCCCGTCATAACAGGAAAACACAAGAGATTGTATACGTTGAGTGCTTTTACCAACACAGAATGTCGACTATTGTCCTGGAATCCAACTATTCTTTGAATCTTCAAATACACGTCTTTTTAAATTTAGCCACATGAACATTTCTCAAGATTTCTTAAGTTTCTAAAGGTTTTTTCCTCAAGTTTGAAAGATTTTAGTTCATTTATTCGTTAAGCAGATCATTTTCTTGATTGTAGTTCAAGATGTCTTAGGTCCCAACTAGGCTTTACTTGCTTGAGTTTCGTCACTTATATGATGTAACTATCTGTAAAAAGTATGGTTAAAGGTATATGGTCAGTTATTGAGTTGGATTAGCGAAGGTGATATCAAAGTTTAAACTTAATTTCGGAATAATGTGGAGTTTTAACTCGGTGGTTTGAACATTCAGTTGTCATTTATTATTATTATTTCAGACGAAGTGCATATTATTATGGCTAGAAGGTATTTGTCAGGAGTTTATCCCTTCCGGTATACACTATGTCTGTTTAGCGCTAGTAGTGAACTCCTCGGCAGTAAGTACTCGCAACTCCGCCAGGAACTAAATTCATAACCATCAGATTTTGTGGAGAATGCTTGAAGATTAAAAGCAATCGGTTATTATCCTATTGTACGCTACATCAACTAGAGTCAATTCGCGATATGACGCGGCGATCTTTCAATGTCGTAGCTGAAAAGCATTTCATTGATCTAAATCAGACTACCATTGGGAACCTGAAATCACTAGACAGCCTTTCTATCTTATTATGAGACTCCTTAGGAGAGGGCATCCACAACCCCTCATGTGGAAATGGAGCCCAGGGACTTTGATCTCGCGTATGATTGTTTGACCTCCAGACCATTGAGCTGACATCCAACGGTGTTAATGTTCAACGTGGATTACTCCAAGGCATTGGAAGACTATCTTCACACGTGCAAGGTCGTGGAATCGCACTGCTTAGAAGTTTCATATTAGTACAAGACAGCTGTTCAAGTCTTTAATAGTGGTTCAACTTAGATCGGTTCATGATTTCAATGAAATTCATCAATCTTGTGAACCTTTGTGCCCTGTTAATATATCACACGATAAGATCGCCTGTTCGAGTTACCGACATATTGACCGAATCAACAACTCATAAATGAGTAAGAGCGGGTTAAGTTTCTTATTGGTCCTTGAGATAGAGGCTTTACTTTTCGTCTAACCCAGCCAATTTAGTTTAGAATACCAATATTAACGTCCGTTATACGAATCATGTATTTCAGATATACTTGGTTTATATACAAGTCGATCGTACCATAACATTGAAAATAACAGTTATACAATATCAAGCCAAAAAGTGGCTGTGTTTGTGAGGAACTGTGACTAATGAATTGAGAATAGTAAATCATATGACAGCAACCAATAAGTCAAATAGAAGCTTATAATAAGAGGAATATATATATATATATATATATATATATATATATATATATATATATATATATATATATATATATATATATATATATATATATACGTTTAGTTTCTTAACAGTTATACAATAAGAAGTTATCCATAATTTAATCTACGCTAGGATATAATAATATCATAAATACTTACTAACTTACTCCTGTTAACCCTTCTCGAAGAACATAGGCCAACCACCAGCATTCGCCATCGAACTTTTTATTCATACTTTTCATGTCTACTTCCAATTCTCGAAGTAGTGTGTTCTTTGGTCTTTTGCTTTTCCATTTCCTTTCAGGATTTCAAGTTAGCACTTGTTTATATCATAAATGAATAACGAAATTATAAAATTCCATTGATCAGTCTCTTATTGGCATATATGCGTATTGTGTGTATTGCCTGAATATCGCCCTAATTCATAAGCATTATAAGCAAAGATGGATAATGATTAGCAATGGAATCAAGGACACATGTTTCATCTTATTTGAAACTCGTCACTACTGAGTTCGAAGTGGATGAGGCGATGGCGTTTGAAGCGAATGGTACTGGGTTCGAGTCTCACAATGAACATCAACTCTATGATGCAAGTACATCCAGCTGACAAGTTCCAAATATGACGAAACTTGCGTCCTAAATCCCACTGCTAGCCACTATCCATCTTTCCTTACCATAAAATTATTTCTTTTCATAATTATATGTATAAAATAATATATACTGTTTTTAATCAATCATCATATTGATTAATTATGGAATGCATGTTTACTTTTTTTGTTTTGTTTATAATTTAGACAGACTACTTAAATTACTTATAAACTATTGTAATTTACTTATTTTCTTAAAGATACAAAGTAAAAGCCGAAATTTATTTAAAAATTATAAATAAGATTTATTATTGTTTATATTTAACGTCAGTTAAATGATCAAATCAAGGGATTGTATATTGTGTTCAATCTAGATTAATGTTAGTTAAATTAAAATGAATTAGTGTAGGTTTGATATGTCAGGGAGTGAATAAGAACACACCGTTTGGTTAAGCCTGTTACTCCTAATGGATCATAGGCCGCCAACCAGCATGAATAATTTTTCTGGTTAGCGTTTTTTTAGCGAGTTAGTCTTCTACGGGATGGGGTCGCTAACCCCGTGCCCAACTCTCCTTTATTCGGGTTCGGGACCGGCAGTAGACCCCAAAGTAGCTCCAGGTGGAGTTGAATAAGGACACAGGTAGGGGATAATCAAATGTATTTGAATATTCAAATTACAGAGTCATTTAGTAAAATTTGAGACCTATACAGTGAATATTTCATTAGCAAAATATTAATCAATCTTCACAGACTTGATTATTTCTTCGTTTCCACACCAATCATTCTCGTTCTCTTTTCTATGATCTTAACATTCTGCCACCACTCACTTCACTTTCTATTGATGATACATACTACCTTTATCTATCGACATCAGTAGCATACATCACAATGTCAAAAGTAAAATAGTTCTCAACATAGGTTGCTGAATAATCTTGACGTGTTATCATTACATTGATTATTGTTGATGATGTAGAGTACCATGGAATACCAACCCATTGGTTCTAATGATTAAAAAGTTATTCAGAAGACCTGATGGTTATGGGCTGTGTTCTTAGTGGGGTTGGTGTTGACTGCTGCCAAACAGCACAATATCATAAGCAAAGACGGATAGTGGCTAGCAGTGGGATCCTGGACGCGTGTTTCGTCCTACTTGGGACTCTTCAGCTGGACGCACCTGCATCTTAGAGTTGATGTTCACTTCGGGACTCGAACTCAGTACCATTCGATTCCCATGCCATCGCGTTATCCACTTCGGACTCAGTAGTGACGAGTCCAAAATAGGACGAAAGGCGCATCCTTGATTCCACTGCTATCCACCATCCATCTTTGCTTATAATGCTTGTGAATTAAAGTAACATTGAGGCATTACACACCGTATGCATATATGCCAATAAGAGACTGATCAATTGTAGTCCTAAATATCAACGGGAAGATTCAAGTAAACGATACCAAGTGAGTTCAATACTATGCTCCCTGGATTTCAATAGTACTCTAAATCAGATTAATCTATGACGAATATAGCCTACATAACAAATAATTGTTCGACTAGTTGTAGACGGTATTCAGCAATATTATCTAAACTAATGTCAATCCGTTTATCATTCAAAAAACATACAAATTAAACTGATCTTCTCAATTACATGTCTAATATTATGCCATAACTAGAAGAATTCATCTACGTCAAGATTGTGATAGTTATTACCAACATTATTGAATAATCATAGAAAGTTAATTCAAGTTAAAAGTATTGAATAGTTTAGCCATAAAATTACATTACAAGATAAATCACATTCGTTCAAATCCTGATAAGGTCTTTGAAGTGAATATCACATACCAAGACAAAATTACTATCAAATTATTCTTTGATTATCAATGATATCTCGACTAATATCGATTTATAAGAAATATGATCTACAAATCAATATTCATAAAATCTTAGTCAGACAATTATTTTCAGAAAGAGTTTTGTGGAGGTTTTAGAAATTTCACTAGTTGAAATCATGAGTCAATTGAAGCTAGACCATCAAGGGAAACCTGGAAGCACTGAACGGCTGTTTCGTTCTAGTATGGGACTCCTCACCGGTGCGCATCCACGATCCCGCCCCCCTCACGAGATTCGAACCCAGGACCTATCAGTCTCGAGCGCGAGTGCTTAACCACCTTCATTAATAACCATTATCATCATCATCTGTTATGTTAAAATCTTTGAAAATAGGTTTGTTTTAATTTCAAACTCTAACCAATTTACATTCATCTTTACTATTGAAGCCAAATAAATCTTGGTTATCATTTAAACAATGTGTATTCTTGGTGATTATTTAATCAATTAAATCTTAATTCATTCTATGACCTAATGTTTACAAATACTAGAACATTATACTATTATCGATTATTTGAAAGACACTATTTGCATGATATTTGTAGTTATTGTTAAAATAAACTTATACTGTTTAGTTTCAGAATGCGAGTTTGTGGAGATTGTAGTAATTTTAATAGTTAAATTCATGAGCAGATTAAAGTTAGACCACTATAGAAAACCTGGAAGCATTAGACGACCGTTTCGTTTTAGTAAGGGACTCCTCAACAGTGCGCATCTATGTTCCTACTCGTGGGATTCTAATCCAGAGCCTTTAGTCTCGCTCACGAACACTTATCCTCTAGACCAGACGACTGAGCTTTAAAAGGTACCTGCTGGAGTTCTAGTGAGAGTTTGCATGAGAGATCGAAGGTCGTATGTCCGAGTCCCGCATGCGAGCCGGACGAAACGGCCGTCCAGTGCTTCCAGGTTTTCCATGGTTGTCTAGCTGTAATCGGCTCATGAATTCAATTAATAATGAACAA